TTCTGTTTGTGTTTTCTTGTAGGTCAATGCCTTATTGCCAACAGAAACCTTCATCCCTGTAATGAGGGGACTAATGACGAATCAGCTCCCATCTGTGAGACGTAAGGCAATGGACCTTTTGAACAATAAGGTGCAGCAGCGCACAAAGTGGCCAAAGAGCCAGGTGAGGTGAAGCAGTTAAAGTTCCTTTAGCAGAGAGAGCTTGATGTAGAAGTGGTTTGCTTTATGTAAAGACGTCAAGTACCAGTGCCAAATCTGGCAGGCCACTCTTGAGTAGTGAGACGTAGGCTACCTGCCCATAGTTACTTTGCAGGTTCTGAGTTTCTAATTGTAAGTCTAATGTGTGTGTTCTCTTGTCCTCTTAGATCCTGCAGCTCTTAGAGCTAGTTCCTGAGCTTACTGCTATAGTGCAGTGTAAAAGAAAGGAGGAAGAGGACGAGCAAGCCATCAACAGGCAGACTGCTTTGTTCAGCCTCAAGCTGCTCTGCAAAGGTTTTGGCAGAGAAAATCCACTGCCATTTGTACCTGTTTTGAAAACTGCCATTGATCTGATTTCTTCAGAGAAGGAGGAAAAGAACGTGATGGGAAGTGCTTTGCTCTGTATAGCTGAGGTCACCTGTATACTGAAAGCCCAAGCAATACCTCAGCTTCCAAGGTACTGTTGCATTCTTTTTAACAGAACCAGCTTCAGCAGGAATTAGTTATACTAAAATGCATTACTGATGCATGCTGATGAAGGCCAAGTGGCAGTCTGCCCATGTGTGTTTTGTGTAGATAAGAATAAAGGTATTTGTAGTGCTCGAAGGTGCTTTCTGGTCATAGAAATAAGAAGCTAGTGGGGAAACTGTAAGAGTTTTATAATCAGTATGGTTCCTTATGGAGTCTGCTACTGTGAACAGAGAGGCAATCATTGTGGCTTTAGAAAAGTCAGACCATATTCTGTATTTTTACTGCAGAACAGATTACATTTAAAAACATGAGAACCAGTACAGTTGGAAACCCTGATATGTTACATCATTTTATTCTCCTTACTCAAGGGGAATTCAGGCATCTAACTTGTTGCTTTTAAGGCTGTTTTATCTCATTGACAAATACAAGTTACTTATTGTGAGTAAATCTTTAATCTAAAGGCAGGGCTTTGAGCAACCTGAGCCAGTGAAAGATATCCCTGCCTATGGCAGGAGGGTTGGACTAGATGATCTTTAAAGATCCATTCTGATGCAAACCATTCTATGATTCAGTGATTCTAAGCCTAATAGGCTTCATTAGCTTTGAAAAAATGAAATACAGCAGAAGAGCCCAGAATACTGAGTTTTCTCAAATACACACATAAAAATTCATGTGAAAATTGTCCCTGCAGGCTTAATGGATGGATTTATGTGATTGGAAATGTGCCTCCAAATTGTCAGTGGTTTCACCTTTCTGTATTTATGCTTGGTTTTTCACAGGCTGATGCCGGCACTGTTGAAGACTTTAAAAAATAAGAAAGAGCTGGTCTCCAATGAGATTTACTTGCTGAGTGCCATCACTGCTCTGCTGAAGGTTGCAGAAACGTTACCACACTTCCTCAGTCCTTATCTTTTGGATTGCTTGCTGCAGGTGAGCCACCCAACTCCTAAAGATATGCAAAGAGGGACAGGATCTGCCCGGCTCCTAGAAGAAGCTACAGACATTACTTTTTTCGTTCTGAAACTGTAGGACTGTGTGCCAATTATGTGGAAGGTCATAATGTCTTAACTCTTTTACTCGCCTTCTTATGCAGATAACTAAGATACAGAATATAAGAGTGTCTCCTACTCCTCCCTCTGATAGGTTGTAGTTTGCCTCTTTGGAAAGGGAGCTGAATCCTGAAGGATCATTCTGCAATATCCCTGATCTCATCAAATGTGTGTATCCAACAGCTCTAGCAGGGTAATTCTGACCCCCTGCCGCTGACATGCACATTTTTCAGTGTTTGTCTTCTGAAGACAGCAAAGCTCTGTACACAGACATCCTAATGTAGGGTGCTCCAGGTGATGCAAACAGCAAAATTCTCGTCTGACACTTGCAACAGACAACTACTGTAAAATAAGTTCTTGAGTTGTTTTAAATGTGCCTAACTTCTGTTGGATTTCCGGATAGGTTGTCCACTTGGAAAAGACTGTGGTTGAGTTTGGTCCTTCTTCCCAGATAAGCTTACGTGTAACATCATTGAAAACTATCCTAGCTACAAGGCTTGTTCCCCGAATACTCTTGCCTGCAGTTACAAAGTGTTACAGTGAAGTGGCAAATACCTGGAAGGTAAGGATCTTTTCATTCTTTTGAATTGTGATTAAAAAGAAAGAAAGAAAAGAAATAAGCAATGCAAAATTCAGTTCAACTGTCCCAGCTGTGTCCCCTCCCAACCTCTTGCCCACCACCAGTCTACTCACTGGGGCAGCAGAGTGAGAAACAAAGGAAAGTCTTAATGCTGTACAAGCACTGTTCAGCAATAGCTTAAAACTCCAGTGTTACCGGTGTTGTTTTGGTCAAAAATCTAAAACATGTCATCATACCAGCTGCTATGAAGAAAACTTAACTCCAGCCCAGCCAAACCCGGCACAGTCTTTATAAATCTGTGTTTCCTTTGGTACTGCAGTGGTAATTCAGGGAAGTTAGACCTGGGAGAAATGTACCAGCTTGATGTCTTTAGCATGTTAGATGATGAATGCTTGAGAGATCATCCCATTCATAAAGGCCTTGATTTCTCTGCTAGGAACTTGAGTTGAGTCATAATTTTCATCTAGGCTTTGGCCCCGTCTCATAGGAGCAAACCTTTCAGGCTTAACTGGTATCCCCAGGATTGGAGAGGGGAGACCAAACTCTTTTCAGGAATCCTACTAACTTAAGCCCCCAAAAAGTACAAGAAAAAGTTAATTTATTTTATCCACACTATTTTAATGAGTAAATGTGTGGAGTGCAAATCCATTTCCCTTGTTATGTTTCTCAGTTACTTTCAGTATCACAGTTGCCTTTGCATTGCTTTGCTTTTCTTTTGGCAGAACTGCATGAGTCCGCTTATGAACATTCTGAAGGAGCACATTGTTGGTATGGAGAAGGAGCACCTGATCTCCCATCAGTCTGAGCTGACGGCATTTTTCATTAAAGCCCTGGACTTCCGAACAGAGCATGCCCAGGTGGCTTGTTTAGGGGGGTGAACAGAGGCAGCTCAACTTCTGCATGCTAATTCTATTTGTTTTAAAAATATTCATAGTTTCCATAGCATACTTGCTCTGAAATTCTGGGTATCCATTGTGGAATTGTTCTTGGGATAGAAAACATTACGGTTAGGTATTTAGTCTGAAACAGACAAAATGAAAATGTGCTTTGAAAGCTCACATTCTGGCATTTCAAACTTGGAATTATGTTTTCTCGTTTTTCTAGGATGATTTGGAGGAAGTTGGTAAGACAGAAGCTTACATTATTGACTGTCTAATAAGTATGGTTATGAAACTTTCTGAGGCTTCTTTCCGACCCCTTTTCTTCAAGGTAGGAAGTTTAAATATAATTCACCTGCATCAGCATATTTGTATTTTCCAGTGCACAGACACAGGAAAGAGCTAATCTGCCTTTCACTTTCAGCTCTTTGACTGGTCCAAAACAGAGTCTACCCTAAAAGACAGACTGCTGACGTTCCACCGAATAGCAGATTGCATTGCAGGCAAGCTCAAGGGTCTCTTCACCCTGTTTGCTGGTCATTTAGTGAAGTCATTTGCTGAGACGCTGAACCAGGTCAACAGCTCTAAAACTGGTAAGTTTTCAGCTACTAACTACAGTGAGGCATTGGCAGGCTAACTCCAGTTGCTGAAAGAGGTTAATTATAATTGCTGAAAGTTTAGTCTTACAGGATTTACTTCACAGCACATCCTTCTCATTTCTCTCTTTCTTCTTTCTCTCGTAAGTAAGGCATCTTTCTTATTCTGATGGAACCAAAGGACATTTTTCATCCATGGGCTCTGGGCTGCCAGTACAAAGTTGAGACCACATGAAAATTTTCAGTATCAGTCCCAGTGAGTTCCATGAGAATGAAATTGTGTGGAAAGAGCGTGACTCGTTTCTGTTTGGGCTCTTACTCTAGCCTGTGGCTATTATTGTCTTTTATCCCCAGCTGACTCTGAACAGCAGTGGCAGACCTGCCAGGGCATTGGCTAAAAGCCTGATAACATACTGCATCCACTTTATTGTTCTGAGTGATGAGTATGTAATTGCTATGTAGTTCATCCTTTAGCTATATTCACAAACTAACAATGTTTCTGTCTTGTGGGGAAGTTTTGTATTTCCAGTTTTTTGATTATTTTTTTTTTCTTCTCCTTGACTGATGTAGATGAAGCTTTCTTTGACTCCGAGAATAGCACAGAAAAGAGCTGTCTACTGTTGCAGTTCACCATGGACTGCCTGCACAAGCTCTTCCTGTTTGACACCCAGAAGTTCCTGAGTAAGGAAAGAGCAGAAACCTTAATGATGCCTCTGGTCGATCAGGTATTGACAAACACAAAAAAACGCCATTCATAGTTGGGTTGGGGGTTTTTTCCCCCATCTGAAAGATTTTTTTTTTATATTAACTCTCTGGCCTCAGTCTGCTTCCTTAACAAAAAGGGAGGGATTAATTCATTGTCTTTGGGCTACAGACAGTATCAACTGCTTTGTCTAAGGCTCTGAATTACTAATTCTTTTATCCTCTTTCTAAACATCTTCATTCCACACAGTTCATGCTTGTTGCTGAGCTCTTGCAGACCAGTGCACTCCCACTGATGCTCTTTGATGAAACTCTTGAGTAACTGAAAGCCAAAGTTAGAAGCAGTGCTTTTGGCTGGATTTATCCAAGCCTGGATCTGTTTGACAAGCTTTTTACTTCCACAGCTAGAAAATATGCTTGGAGGAGATGAGAAGTTCCAGGAAAGAG